GGCGAAGGTATATTCCAAAATCTTAATGGCGCCTTTAATATGTTCGGGGTCAAACCCAGCAAGAATCAAATCCCTTCTATCCTTAGCAGTGGGGTGAAAAAAATTGTTCTTTGTCACGGTTTTCCGACAATCCGAGGATTTGGGTCCAGGAGTTCCAGACAGATTTGATTCTGCGAAGCTCAGCAGGGGTTTCGCTGGCAAAGGTCCTATCATCAGCGAAAATGATCTGAATAACGTTTGGGAACCTAGTAGCAATGTCCGTAACCGCAGGAAGTATTATGCAGGTCATAGCCAGCATGCTCCAGCTGTCTCCTTATGGCAGGGAGGCTGGGACAGCAATATTGCCCGGAAGCGTTTCTCCCAATAACTGCAGGCGGCGTTCCTATCCTACCCAAGCGTCAAGCAACAGGTTGGCAAGACCTGGTTTCAAACCTAGGTGCTTCATGATCCTAACGGCAAGCCCGGGATCAGTCATGACAAAGGCTTTGGAGAGATCGTGGATCCCACGCACCACTTATCATATACGCACTTAAGGAGCTGTCCAGCCGCGTCTTGAACGTCTCTGCCTTGCGCCCCTCCGTATCCACAGGAAGGAAGGACGCGCTGAATCCATTCCTTGATTTCCGGTCTTTTGAACCTAGCCCTCGCGTATACTCTCCAAAACAGACTGGAGATGGAAACCGGTCTCAGGTCAGCAGCGAGTGTAGACCCATCATGTAAAGATAGCTTGCCCTTGCCAATGGGGATTTATCTCACGGTTTTCCATGATTTCGGGACCTTATTGAGGCTTTCATATTTTTGGCAAAATTGAGCAAGTTCATCAAATATATCGTCGCTGAAATTTTGCAATTCCTCAGCGCTCCATCCGTCGATGCCAGGAGCCGTTCCTCTGCAATCAGCTGCAGCTTTGCGTAAGTCTTCCTTGGCGAGAGGCTCGCACAAGTGAGTCTGAGCCTCCGCTGGGAGGTAGCTCTCCGCTTGGCGCCACGCAACCTCCATATCAGGTTGAGGCCTACGCCAGATTTGTCTCCAATATTTCCTGAGTTTCTTCAATGCCTTTTGCGGGGAATCCGCAATTGAATCCGTTTCAGAAAGTTTGATAGCATGGCTTAAGGCGCCCTCTTACTTATGGAGTCATTTGTAGGTCTGCTTATCATCCATCATTTTATTCTTCCAATTCTGAAACTTACGCTTATTTTCTTCAAGCCTATATTCTTCAAGGTCATGCGCAATTTTCATGATATTCTCAGTAAGATTTATAGAGATATCATAGTGCGGGGATCTGGAGATTTTGACCTGAAGGTTCTGGGTGTTTTGGTTTGAGCCTGAGGAGGTCTCTTCATTGGATCGCCTATTTCTAAACTCAAATATCCTCCCAAGATGCCTAATAAGAGTTCGTTATCTGTATGAAGCAGAGTTCCCAGTAGATTGCCTACGCCCATCTCTCCTTTCAACAATACGGATATGGGTGGGTTTTCCTGCTCGAAGTTTGCTCCTACTAGATAATTTATCATTGGGGGTTCCGACTTGCCTGTGTGCACCAATCAAAGACTGAAAAAAGGCTTGGTTGAGGGCACTCCATTCTTCGTCAAGATCTTCTTTATCACGAAAGTCCCTTAGGACACTGGTGCCATTGTTCCTGGATAGCTTGCAGCCATTGATCCTTAGATTCTGCCGGTGGCTCCGGCAAAACAGGCGCAGGCGAGACAATCTAGTGCTTATATGCGTCAAGCTCTTCTTTCATATTGACCATCGCCACTTTATGATCGGATATCTTATACGATAACGTTTTGGGGTCAGAGAGAGGAACTCTACCGAAAAAGCAGTCAATGCATCTATTGCCTTGCCGCCTCGTCGGGGAGTTGGTAGAGGAAAGTTGGGCCCCAAGACCTGAGAAGGCTTCAAGAAGCTCATTCTGGGCGGGGGTAAAATTAAAATCTCCTCCACTATACCATTTGATACCTGGGAGAAGTGAGAAAATAGTTGATAGAATTTCTTACGCCATCTCGTCCGCACCAATAACTGGCGCAAGGTACGCTGAGAGAAAAAAGATTCTCCCTGTCTAAATTGCCCGGGCGGCTCCGCGAAGGCACGTGTAGGACCAGGCCGGCTGCACAGCTATGCTTTTATTGACAAGCACCATGGCATCTCCATGAAGCCTAGCACTAGTCTTTTGGGCCCCAGCAAAGAAACCGTTGTAACCCAGCTTACTCACAGCAACGAGGAAGGCTTTGGCCTCATTCGCAGAAAAGGCCGTTTCCTGAAGCATAACAATGCAAGGCTTGTCTTCCTGAAGCAACGGAAGCGTGTCCCAAACTCCTTTCGTGTCTCCAATATTTAAGGTCCAAATGCTGGCTAACCCATTTTTCCGACTAATGGATGATGTCGGGCCCCGTTATGACTCGATATCTCCATCCTCAGTCAGGTCGCGTTTCCTCTGAGACCTTTTTTGGGCAGGGGCATTTGAATCAAAATCTAACTATTTTTTGACCCACGGCCCCAAGGCTTGGCGAAGAGGCTCAAAGATTTTCCTTTTCTGGAAGGCCGACCAGGCTCTGGTAACGTTAGCGGAGGCCTGCGATCCTTTCTTATTTTATCCGCACGTACCGGATTTGACTCTAGAGTTATATCCAGTAATGATATGGAGACAATCCGCGCACCACCATTGTCTGGTGACCCCTTCGGCAGCAGCACCAAGGTTCTCTTGAGAAATATCTAATATCCTGAATTTCTTCTTTCTGATAGCGTCATATCTTTTGATAACGGCTTGCTTGAATTTTTCCCCTTTTTAACCCCTTTAAAACGCTGTTTAGTAAGAAATCCTCGCCAGGTTTTGGTGTCAAACTCAGGATATTCTTTATTCCTATGTGCGCCCTCAATTTTAGCCATCTCATGATCGCTTCCAAGGGTCGGAAATCCAGCATCACAATACGGATACTGAAAAGCCCGTTGGTCTTTCGGAATGTCTTTTGAGGCAACAGGCACTGGCGCATTCCTTGAGTTGATTAAGAAGACCTCGTATGGAACTTCCGCATGGGCTCTCTTCCAGTGGAACCTTCTAAGTCCATAGATAATGCTCCAGACGCCTTTGCGTTCTTCAGAGTATATCGGATATTTCCATATATAGGTTCTATTCGCAAAGCTCTTACCTTTGGGGAGGCTTCTAAGCTTAGGGGCAGCATACTTTTTGTCGTCCTGCTTTTTGGGCGCCGTCCTAGTTTCACGGAAACGAGGAGGGATTTTCTGAGGATCAAACGTAACAGGGGCCTTGGTATCCCTGCCGTATTGGCTACGGTTTTCCAGTCCAAGCTCCGAGGGCGTGATATCCTACAGCGTTCTGAAGTGAGGTACGGGCGGCCTCTGCCTCTTCCTGGCCTCAGATCCCTTAACAGGCAAGCATTCTTCCTGTGTAGCTCTGCGGTCCTTAGTAGGTCTAGAACGATCAGGGGTTGCTTTTGGGAGGGAAAGTAATCCTTCGCCAGGGGTTCTAGAAGTAAGATTAATCTTAGGCTCAATTTTGCGATCCAGGGTTCGGAATAGAAGGCTCAGAGAATCATTGCACCGAGCCTCAGCCGAGTTACTTGGGGTACAACAAGCCTGCGTACAACCCGAAAAAAGAGTCATAGGCCCTTTTTGTTTGCCTATGAGCTTCATGCGTTTAATTTTCGGGCGGGCATCTAGTGCCATGGGTTGAGATTCAGGAAAAGCAATCGGATAATAAATTTCCTGCGTTTTACCTTTATCTCCGCACTCCCGGCCTTGCAATTAAGCAACACTACTAATTTTAGAGATCTTAGAGGAATTAGCGGGAAAAAATAACGAGTTCTGGGGATCTTCCTATTTTCTTAGGGGTACTGCCGGAGAGAGACAACGAATATTTTCATTATATCTACTTAATTTTTATGAATTTTATTTTTTAAAAATCCTAATCAATTTATCTTTTTCTCTTTCAAAATTTAATAAATATATTCTATCTTAAATTGTATTTTATAAAATTATGAAAATTCGAAATCATAAAATCCATATTTCCTAATTATATTAAGAAATTAAATATCTATATATATTATAATCCGATCATCCTATTCAATTATTAGATATAATCAATTCGTAATATTATATCTTTTCTTCTATCTATCTTCTTTCGAATTAATATATTCTATTTCTCAAGTATTCCTGACCATCTTTCTTTTAATATATTCTTAGATTCCTCAATTGAAATTGAATATTTGAAATGCATTTCTTAGAAATTAAAATAGATATTTGAATATTAGAATAAGATTCTTATCAAGCCTATTACTAGATTGAGATGAAATATTCATTTCATGAATTATTCTATGCCAACGATGCAAATCGTTCGATCTTTCCTTTCGTCTAATAGATTTTCAAGAATTTTTAGATATTAATGAAATTTATCATCTCCTTTCGTTGTTGCCTGCAAATATGTCAATGATGTGACTGCCAACGTCTAATCGGTATAACTAATCATAAAATGTAGTCATCACGAAGCCGCTCCTGCAGTTGCTGCTTCTATTGTTTACCTTCTACTGTTTACTTACTACCATCTCCTCTTACTACAACAACAACTACTACTACGACTACTACTACTACTACTGCTACTACTACTACTGCTGCCGCTGCTAACAAGAAAAATGCTGCTACTCCTACTTCTCCTACTACTGCCACCACCACTACTACTGAACAAGTACAACTAATTATCCCAGCCCTTTGGCAACTACCACACATCAAGAACAGATTAGACTATGAAATGAGCCCTCGACTTGCAGCAAACCCCACAGTTCATGTCTTCTTGTTTTTGGATTTAACGTTTCGAGTTCTGCGACAGTTTGGGGTGGTGGCTTTGCCAGATCCTCAACTTGCCAGGCCGTAATAACAGCACGGGCAGCAATTCCAGTCTCTTTCGGAGATAGGAAGCGACCGTTAGCCAAAACGATGCCTTGCGCATCCCCTGCTGGCTGAGCAGCAGGAAAACACTGAGAGAGTTACTTCTTGATAACTTCTGCTTCTATGAATGCTCGGAGTTCTGCCTTGCTAATGGTGCCGTTTTTATCGGCATCTGCAAAGCCTATGCACTGCTGAGCAAGTATTCTGCTCACGTCGAGATCTCCAAGTCGGAAAGACATGGCTACCATGAGCTCATCCAAATCAATCTCACCATTCCCATCTGAGTCAGCCTCATCGAAGAACTCATCGATCTCATGCGCCTCCACTACACCATCTCCGTTCACGTCACAAAGCGTCGCCCAGATCCTGTTGCAGAAATACTGAACCAAAAGCGGCAAAGCTGGCTGCCCGGACTCATCTGAAGGAATGGCGTCCGGATGTGCCTCTGCATATCGTTTGAAGACGACATTTGTCCGCATAATGAAGGAGTCTATGACGATGCGATAAACGCGGTCTGGGTCAAAGGGTTGCCCGGCAACCTCAAACACCATGGAAGTGTTTGGGTCCACCTGGGAATGTCAAAGCTGCTGGGTCCCTTGTTTGGTCTCTCGAGAACGGACCGGCTTTCCAAGAAGGCTTTGGTAGGAGGACCCTAATTATTGCGAGAAACCTTTCGTCGCCAAATCCATTAATCTGGACCCTGAAGCCTGAGTCTCTTAGTCGTTAACTCCAGGTCCCCCAACCTCAAACACTTGTCCCTAAACCCTAAACCCTGAAACCTTAACCTCCTGAACCCTAAACCTCTTCAACCCAAACCTCCGCAAACCAAAGGAACCCTAACTTTCCCAAACCCATATCCCAGAATCCCTTAGATACCTTCATCCCGTCATCGCAGTGGAGAGCATCTCTTGATGTGCCGGGTTCAGCGTCCTGCTATGCTGCTTGCCAGAGGACGTGACATGAACTACTACATATACATATACATGTATCAAATCCTACATATGGCTTTAGTTGTTTTTTTTAATGATGCCGGGGGGGGTCGAACAAAGGACCGCCGCGTGCAGAGCCAAGCGCCCCATCCATTGAGCTATGGCCGGTCCGGTCTAGGGTGCAGTAATTAGGGTTTAGGGAGAGAGAGCGAGAGAGAGAGAGAGAGAGATAGATAGATAGATATATATATATATAAATACATGACCTAAATAGTGAGAGCAGATATCGGGTCCCTAAGATGGTTGAGTCTTGCCAATGGTTGTCATTCGTTTGACGTTCCTTAGCAGTGGCCCGCCCCTAAACTGCAAAAACCCACATCCTTAACCCTAAAACTTAACCCTACATTCCAAGCCATGAACTCCGAACCCCTCAGCCTAAGTCCTGAACCCCACAGCCCACGTCCCGAACACCACATCTTGAAACCCCACCCCTAATCCCAAACTGATCTTCAAACCCTCATCTCTACTTCCGAAACCTGGTTCCCTGCTTTGTCAAAACCTTCAACCCCCAAAATGAGCTCTACACCTGGACCCCCCCCCCGGTTCATCTGAGAAGTGTATACCTGTCTCGGCTTGCACTGAATCACACGTTAAACCCTGAACCCCAAACCTAAACGCTAAACCCGTAACTTAAACCCCATTATACCCTAAACCCCGAGCCTAAACCCTAGACCCCAAACTCTACACCTTGAACCCCAAGAACCATCCTGCCGCTGGTGTGTCGCTGAGACGGCACCCCGCCAGGGTGCTCGACTCTCCGCTATGGCTTCAAACAAGATTGCTCCAGGAATGTTCCTAGGTCATCTAGAGTTTGGGGTTTGAAAGGTTAAGGGTAAGGGAAAGTGGGTGAGTGACATTTAGGGCTTAGGGCTTAGGGTTTGGGGGTGGGTGTGCAAGGTAAGATTGCCTTCCTTGCAGGGCTCCCCTCTTCCACTCAAGCTAAAGCACCAGTCTGTAGTGTTTGTAAGCAGAAGGCTGTAGCACTAAGGAAGATTTTGCAACATTGCGTAGAATAGAGACAAGGCCCCCCTTCACCACAAACAGCAGAAACCCCAGTTATCAAAACAGGCCTGAAACATGGCCCAGGTTCACCACAATCTGTGACGATGGGTATGGACACTCAGCATTCAGGTCAGCAAATCGCACTTTGCCGTCTGAATACGTCTTGTTCCCGCGGATGCTACCAGCATTGATCAGCGCCCCGTCTCCTCCAGCTACATCCCGCAAAGCGGTGCAGATCCTTAGTCCCTCTTTCCCTGACAAATCTTTTCAAAAAAGGACCCGGGAGACATGCGGTTAGAAGGGCATCTACGCGCTAAAAAAGTATCCAGAATCCCTAACCTTCACCTAGGATCAGCGTGGCCATGCTACGTTCACCCAGGCGGACACCCGCCGAAGTGAGGGAACCATCCGCTGGAAAGACAGCCAGAGTCGCCTCTTTGAGCTCTTCTGCAGGTCTCTGGCGTATCTGTACCTCCTCTAGCACCTTGGGGTCTGGCTTGTACACCAAATCTAGCGGAGGCCCTTTGTGCTTCGGCGGCGTGGCCAGCGGAACGATTTGAACGCTAACGTTGCTCGGAGCTGATCTTGCCGGCAATCCGTCTGCCCACGTCACGTCAACGACTGCGACATTGAAAGCGTCAGCTCCTGCCTTGACGATGTGGGTGTCGTTGTGCACCTCGTTGAGGACGTGGTGGTCGTGTCCCCCCAGAATTACAGGAAATTTCTGTCGATTCGACATTTCTATGTCATCACGCATCTCCTGGTGAGTCAAAGGAATGATGCAGTCTACATGTGGATGAGCTTTGCGCACACGCGCCACAGCATCATCCACGGCATCTAGAACTGGTACAATTTTGGCTGCATGGCCATTAAAAGCGCCCTTTCTGTAGAGACTGGCATCTTTGCCACCGCCACACAACAATCCAATCAAGGCGACCGACCTACCCCCAGCCAGCTTGATAACGTGATGATCTACAAGAGACTTCAAGCCCGGTTCCTCAGAGAAGGTCGGGATATTGGAATTGAGCCAGACTCCTTTGAAGTCTTGTACTCTTTGGCACATGCTCAGGAAAGGAATGTCGCACTCATGATTCCCGAAACATACTGCGTGCACCGGGATTGAGTTCATGACTGCTACCATTCCTCGTCCATGATCAACGGAGGAGAGTAAAGAAGGGGCAAGGAAATCGCCGCCCAGCGTCACGAGAATGTTGCTTTCATCAAAGCCCTCGCTGAGCGCATCGATGCAGCTACGAAGCACGGGAAAATTCTCTAAAGTATAGACATCATTGAAATGGAATATTCTGAAGCGGCATTCGCCCAACGGCTCTTTGCTGATCTCCTCCTCTGCAAGGATATTCTCGAGGCCTTCGACCTGAGCACTTCAGAGCACCCGTGCTCTTGTGAAGCCTTGTGTGCCGAACAATGCTGCGCCCCTTTCATCAAAAGGTAGGCCTTGGGCAAATACGGCTCAGATTTCCCAATGCAGCCAGTTTGGGTTCGGGCCTTTTCATGGGAACGAGACTAAACAATTTATCTCTAGTCGACTACGTTTGAGCTGGATTCTTGGTGTTGCGACTCGGCCCCGAGCGTTGTCGTCCACATTCGCGATCGGTACATCCTCTGGCGACGATTTCGCCACCGGAATTACCTCAAGGCCATTGTAAGATGAAGCTTTGCTCTGCAGACCCAGAAGTGCTCTGGCAAGCTGACACTGCCTAACGTGTTTGCTTCGTCTACTGTGCTGAGTCTTTCGGATGAGCGGCCGGATCTGGATCTCGCTGGACCGACGAGCCGCAGCCCATGGCCCGGATGCGTGCGCCAGGCCAACTGGCAGGGAGGGGAGAGTCTAAATGGGCAAGCAATACCTTGAGGCGTCGCATGCCTGACAGCGCAAAAGTGCGTGATGAATATGACGTGAGCTGCGAGTTACTACACATCCTGACTCGAGTGGCCCATTTGCGCGCTCTGATTTTTCCCTGATGCAGCCACACATGGTAAAGCCAAGCTGTATATAGCAAGTCGGCATTCAGCCATTCCCGTGGGCGGGAAGCACCAGAAACGGCAAACTCGCCCAGCTTCCCGTCTGAGGCTAAGGCTAAGGATTTCTGAGCTGCTGCCTGGACCATCCTTAGTCTCCTGAAAGACGAGGAGTCGAGGGCTGGTCATTCAACGGCCCAGCAATGCAGCTCCAGCGTGCTGCCACTTTCCCAGTTCTGGCAGACGTTCCATGACGCCAGCATCCTTGCGCTGGTGACATCAAATATAGAACATGGTGATCGAAACTACTGACATAATTATTATATAGGATATCATGTGAACCTTCCAGGAACAGCCCGTGATGTCTGTGTAAACCGTCTTAACTCTTGAAATATCTTGAAATGTCTTGGAAACGAGCGGCAAGGGAAGGCCTGGACATGCTCTGACGGATGCCACAATGAAGACGGAGCAAGCAGAGCTGTGCTACATCTGGAACGCCGCTTTAGCCTTTGAGGGCGGCAACGTAGTAAAGCATCATCTGCTCATGTACCATGCGATGATATGCTTCGAAGAGCCTTCGCACAACTGGAAGTCGGTACTTCTCGAACCACCATTGTCCACCACACCCGACCAAGCCCCAAGCCCAACCAGCAACAGGAAAGTCCTCCAGGTGCGTCGTGAGCTCTATGTCAAGGCGCTCACCGTCGCTGCAGTGGACACCAAGGGACTTGCATGAAACTTTCAGCTTCGCCCCATTGTTCAAGAGAAATCCGCTCTCAGGCTCTGTCAGCCTATATAATGATAGTAGTGGAGGCAGTGGCTTTGGTAAGTAGCTGGATCGCATCTCAACAGGTCGTTGATCCATGCCAGCAGCGGGCCAATGGTCGATTCCCCCTCGCAGCTGTAACGGCGCCCCTATCAATTCAAGTTGCCAATGTTCTGCAGCAAATCGCGGTAATCTATCAGCCAGTACGCCGGCCTAAGTTACATCTCTGTTCCGTCCAGAGGGCAATAGTAAGCGTAGTACGCAGAATCTGAAGACTAACAATCTGCAACCTAAGGGCCACAGCCTGTTTTCAAAACCCCAGATCGCAATTGGTCTAGGCGCCATGGACTCAGCGACCTCTTCCGCTGAGAGCTTATCACGCGGCCATCCCCTTTCCACGGGCAGGGAGAAGGTCGACTGTGCCTTGATGCCTGCTTGGCAGTGGGATGATGAGTGGATAGGGGTGGTACAGGGGCTAGTAACGGCTAGTAGAAGCCTGAGGAATATGGGGGCTGTCAAGAGCACACAGGCATCCACCTGAGGGGCTCTGTGGCAACCATGACAAGAAGACTGGCAACAAAACAACGTGCTATGAAGCTCACAATACTCAAGATAAACCGGCACGACTCGACTCGAGCTTCAAATGAGCACATGAGACCTACCTCTGGGCATTACCCTACTACTCAGAACGATTGTACGGGCAACTCTTGCCGTAAAGTAATTAAGAAGAACAATAGCATGATGCCTGCACTATCCCCATGCATATCCCTAGGCCAAATCCTAATTGGTAAACCCTAAACCCTGACCTTAAATCCCAATCTGTCAACCAGCCCCAACCATAAAGTCTGGAGGGCATGTATCATCCGCTCAGGCAGAAACTATCAAAATTAAGGTCTCCGTGGGTGCGCCTTTTTATCAAGGGGCCGGATTATGATCCTGACCCAGAAAGAGACGGAGTGTTTGACAACCCCTCCATATCAAAATGTCTCAATACAAATCCCTACATAATCCCTCAAGACGACCCGCACAATCCTCCAAACTCCCTATATCTCCCTAGAATCCCCAAAGGCCCGCCCCTATATAAGCCGCTAAGCCCTGAAGCCGAAACCCCCCAAAATGCCCGCAGTTGGCCGGCATCCCTCCGCCCCTGGCTTCACCTGGGTTGCTGTTAAGGAAGCTAAATTGAGTTACCACAATATGGGTACATAATAAAAAAAATACTAGGGGTTTCTTATTACAATCGTAACTCTTAACCCATTTACTCTTCTCATAGTAGCTTCATTTGGGAGTTTCCCGAAATCCGGGGACCCCAACATAGACCCCAAAATATTGCAGTCCTTGTTTTAGGGACCCCCCAAAAATGGTACACCTAATTTGGGGAAGCCCCCCCAAACCCTAAACGCTAAACCCTCCCATTTGGGTCCCTTAACAGCAATCCAGTCACTTGAGTGGAGAAGCGGAACTGAAGCGGAGCCGGCTCCACTGGCGGCTTCGCGAAGTTGAAGTCAAAGTCCTGTTTGTGGTTTATATAGGGATCATGGAAAAGAAAATGGAATAGGGTTGTAGAATGTTATATATAGGGATTATATGAGGGTGATATAGGGTTTATAGGAGGATGGAGAAGAAAAAGGAACTTACTGTTTAGGGTTTAGGGTTTAAGGTTTGTGATGATAGTGGTGATGGTGACAGTGGGGACACAATTTATACGTACCAGTACCTCCTTGACTGACAGATTCCACTACTTTCATGCCAGCAGGGTGTGGGGTCATTCTCTTTCTTCTGGCCACGGCAGCGATTACCAAGGATGATCTCTGAAGTGCTTGTTTCTGCAACTATGTAGCTGTAATTTATGAGGAGTCCCTTGGGAACTTGGGGGATTGCATGGATAATCAAAAGGTTTGCTGCTAAGAAACTTAAATGAAGTTACCATAATATCTGTATATCGTAAACAACAGGGTTTCGTTATTATTGTACCTTAATTCACGTTCCTCAACACAAGCCCAGTAAAGGGGTCTCCGTTAAGAATTATGAAGTGGTCATTGGGCCCTTTCCTTGCGGCCGGTCCTCATCCTCCTCGTCCTCCTTGGCTTCATCCTGCCTGTCTGCCTGGCTCCACGGCAGGGAACATTGAATAACATTGGAGATCGCGGACAGAATTTTTAGAGATGGGTAGTCAAAGATCTCAGCAAGATTACATAGAGATACATAGTCATGATATAAGTGTATACATGTAACTGAGTCATACTGCGGCTACTTGCTTCATGGATCCTACTGCTATCCTTGGGTCCCTGGGTTTTTCAAACTGCATCCAACCGTTACCACATTCAAAACCTCCTTACTCCAGTATTCTCCGAACCTGAAACCCTCTAAAATCTCTGCTTGACTTCTACAGACTTCTAGCTTTTCAGATTAAGAAGCCCTCAGAGTTCAGATCTGCTCTGCAACAGTCCAAGGAACAAAGCATGAAGAGTTGCGCATAAACGGTTGAGAGGGCTGAGGTAGAAAGACTCATTTCGACTACCGTGGTCATCACAGTTCTAGATACAAAGAAACAGAAAAGAAAGGGTATTCGCATCATTTGCATGTTGATTCCGCCCTACATCGCTTCACACCCCCAGAAAAGGTGTGCCTGATTGTTCTCGCAGAGGCATGGGGATGACGTGAATAGCACAGCGCCTCAACAGCGCACAGTCAGGAAGGCAAGCGTTCTTGCACATGGGGATCTCAAAGACATCATAGAGATATGTACCGATTACTAAGAGAGTATGCGAGTTTCTATGGAAAGGGCTGAATAGGATCGTTGGGAGACATCCCACTTGTTGCAGCGGAAGTTGGAGTTATATGGGATTGTGCTACTAGACGTCCAATGACGATGTCGGTCATCAGCCCCTCAAATGCTCCTGCTTAGATTAAGTAATCGGGCAGTTCTCAGGTGGGTACCCTATGGGAGGCTTATGCAGACCTTATATACATTCACCATCCTCATGCTAACCTTCCATGAGCGTGACACTATTGGGATGGCTTTCTGGCAACTTCCCCTTGACACCCTAAACCCTGAGTTCCCTGAGCCCTACAAAGTTGAACCCTAGAAACCCCAGCTATTTGTTTTTGAAACAGCTCCTTTTCCACCCAAAGATCCGGGCTGTCAGGGTCTGGGATCAAGGGTTCGCGAGGCTGCCCTCACCGCATTTCTCAAATGTGGTCGGTTCAGCTTCTATTTTCTCCAGTGCTTTTTACAATGCTAAAAGCGAACAGGTAAGTCGTGCGTCTCCTGTGGCTAAAGAAGTGAGATTGCATGTTCCTCAGAAACTACAACAGCCGTAGCCGAAAAAATACTCTATAATTGGGGACCCTGTACCCCTCTAAAGAGCATTACCCGCATCACCTGACATGCTTTGTGCGGATTTACGTGCAGCCTAAACCTTACACGCAGAAGACAATTCTTCCGCACATGGAAAGAAGCAGCAGGTTCCAAGCCTTGGCAAAAAGTTAAGGGTGTAGGGTTTAGGATTTAATTCGGCTTTAGGGAACGTATTTCTTACACCAGGGCTTATCTATAGTTAAGTATCCTCTGCCCTCCTTTGTGCCTGCTGTACAATTTTGTTCTGTACTCGACTCTCCTTTATCCCCGAACAAATGCCACAGCAAAACAAAAGCCCCAAACCCAGCCAGAAACTTTGCCCTGAACCAAAATGCAAGCAATCCACCACAACAGTCTGAGGATACACAGCCCTAAACCCTAAACCGGAAACACCCATGCCAGGCGCCAGCACACGTGGCTAGGGCGAGGAAGGGCCGCCCGGCTTGCATGGGAGGGTCCGTTGCCTGGAATGATTTAGGTGTTTCCCCACATTAGGGGTACCTTTTCTGGGGTCGCTATAAGACGGAGTATAACAGTTTTGGGTCTATATTGAGGTCGACCTATTGCAGGAAACTACCGTTTAGGGTTTAGGGTTTAGAGTCTTGGGATTTGGGTTCACTGGCTCCTTTCTGGTGCAGTAATTTAACGCTTTTTTGATAACTTGTCACTGGGTTTTAATCACATCGAAAAATCATATGAGCTATAATCTAAACTCTTAGTATCCCCCTTAATAGGCCCTATAGTAGTTCCCCATATAATCCCCTATATAACCACCCTTTAAGAAGTTTAGACTATGGTTCATATGCAACATTGACCTAGTTTAGGCTTTGGCCTTTAGGGTCTGGGATGATCGTGCGCCCCCCCAAATGGGCACCTGAAGGAGCAGTGTGTAATGAACTCCAAAAAAAAAGAGCTCTCATTTTTTGGAAGTGGGTTTAGGGTTTAGGGTTTAGGGTGTCCGCTCCATGCACTGGACCAATGCACTGTATCATCATAAAAGGGAATGTCTGCTCGGTGAGAATTGTTGCAGGTAGGTTGCATTCCATAAGAGTCTGACACGCTCTGCGGTGCACTTCCTTGAAGCAGCACTACCACCGCCTGCAAGTTGCCTCCCCGTAGACACAAGTCTGGAGAATGGCCTGAGGCATGTTCGAGAACTGAAGCTCTGTGGGGTCACAAGTGCGACATCTGATGTCACTGGTGGGAGCACACGAAACACAGTGCGGGATGTACAATGGCCTTTTGCGCATTGCACCGCCACCGCTGCGTATCACCATGTGCAGCAGCATGCTTCTCAGCTGGTGGACAAGGAAGTGCATCAAAGCATTGAGGATTAGAAGGCTGCTGAATATGTTGAAGTCACAGTCACTGCTACAAGCATGAGTGCAAAACATGCAGTCTTCTCCACTCTTGCTCCCTCCAATACCGCGCTCCAGCACGTTTTTCATCCTTAGTCCTACTCGCAGAGCGCTCGTCTGGCGCGTCGTCAAAAGCCCAGAGGAGTCATCAGCACTGATCCACCTTTGGAGACTCAACACCTGCGCACTGGTCCACAGCGGCTTTGTTTCTCTGGGAGCAGCTCAAGCAACCACCGGAGCACCATGAGCCGAAGAGACCTTTCTCCAAATATGGAAAAGACAATGGAAACTACTGTAGCATTTAGATTTGGGGCTTAGGGTTTAGGGATGAACAAATGAAATGGACTGGGTTTAAGGATGTCGGGTTCAGGGTCAGGGGCTTCGAGTGCAGGTCTGCGGGTTGAAGGTTGTTACCTGTTGGGTCCTCATAAAAAAGTAAGTCTCATCTGTGACCCAGGGGCAGGGAAGCTTGCAATTGTCATAGCTGTACCTTACTTGTTCAAACATCATGTGAAAACATCTCCTCTACTACCATCATGCACAGCAACTGCCTAAACCTAAACCCTAAAGAGCAACAGCCCTAAACCCTAATCTCTACACTGAAGGGTTGTTGCTGAACAGCAGGATGCTTGCCGGAAGCTGCGTAGCAGCTGGCGCACGAAGAGCTCAGCTTGGTTTGCGACATGATGCAGCTGGACCTCAGTCTTGCCGAATTTCAATGGGTTTAGGGAATTAGGGGTTTAGGATTTAAGGATTTAGATTTTAGGGGTTTGGAGTTAAGGAGTTTAGGTGTTTTAGGATCTAGGTTTTAGTGGTTTAGGGGTTTGGGCGTTTTAGGGCTGAGGGGTTTGAGGTTTAGGATGTGGTTGGCCTAGGCTCTTCTGAACGAAATTCAATACTACGGTGAATGCTACAAATCCTGCATGACCCTAAAAACGCGTATACTTTGGGAACTATGTTATTGTAGCATTATGGTAGTACTAAGGTTGAACCCCGAAACCCCAAGCCCTAAACTCCCTAAACCCTAAAACCCTAAACCCCTAGACCTCCAAACCCTAAACCCCAAACCCCCAGACCCCACTATTGGCGGACCAAGCCACATCGAGCCTTCCTTGAATCCACTCCAGAAGCTGTAGGCACCCTTGCCACATACCTGAGAAATTCAAGAAGTTAGGATTTAGAGTTTTAAGGTTTAGCGTGTTTCTTAATAGCTGAGCCAAATAAGGTGGTTAACGGCGAAGATGAGCTTACCACCTTGGGGTTTGGGGTTGGGGTTATATGGGGATAATGGAAAAGAAAATGGAAACTACTATAGGAGTTCTTAGGGGTTATAATTACATAGGGTATAATGTAGACCCCTATTAGCTAGATTCCTACATGTTGGATGATATTGAGGATTGCACCTATTCCAACTACTACTAGCTCATCTTGAATGCCATTGCTGCTCCCCATTGTGACTAACTTACCCAAGCCTGCAAAAGCCTTATTCAACAACCAAACGGAAAACCCGAACTCCTGCACCTAAGTCCTAAGCCAGAAGTCCCAAATCCTCAGTCCTCTGCCCTAAGACCCACAAACCTGCAGAATCCTTATTCAACAGCTGCACGGGCACGGAAAGGATCTTTGGGAAGGTTCCATCTGCATTGCCGCCTCCGAACTTCGCCATGATCGCAGCGTCTGCTGCCGTGCAGGCGCCAGTAGTCTTGGCAGTCCTTAATGGCTTTTGCCCATGGGGCTCCCTGTGCAAGGGTTGTAGGGTTCCCTCCAAGGTGATTATGGGGTTTATGTCGGCTTTAGTGTTTGGGGGTAATTTGGCGATGCTGGCTTGATGCTAGTTTCAAGGGTTCCTATATGTTTAGCACTGTGGTACAACAGACGGAAATGCAACACGACACCCTGTCAAAAGGGAGCTCAGAGTCTTGTTCACCTTCTCAACAGCTTCGACGGTTTCAAGTACCTCGGTTGGTGTCTGAAGCCCGTTCAGCCCCTTGAACAAAAAAAGGTGTATAGGGCCCTTATGAACCAGCAAGGGGAATATTCCCCTCCCGCGGTAATATCGGAAGCCCCCCGCTCCTCAAAAATTGAATATTGCAAATAATTTACAATATACCACCATGCGAACAATTACTAGCGCGAGGGTGAAGTACCATAAGCCCTAAACTAAACTTTACACTGACTAGGGGGAGGGGAATTATCTAAACATCCCAACGGCAAACCTAGATACCTCCTTCTGGGCGCGCAGCTGGTGAAGCTCGAGGCTGCAGGACCCATCATTGCCACTGCACTCGTCATCCACAAACCTGACAGGCACGAGGGTGTTGGAGTAAAGGGTTTAGAGTCCAGGGTTCTGAGTTTGCGTGTAGGGCTTGGAGTTTTGGCGGAGATTCTCAAAATGATGGGTTCATTTCTTTGCGCGCATTTCTTTGCGTGTGGACTCTAGAGTAAGGATTGTCGTATTTCTGGGAGGTCTGGGAGTATCAGAGGTCCCAAATTCCTCCTTCAAGACCGACCGTAGTACTCCTGTAGACCCCAAGTACCCCCTACCTATGGAATTCTGGCTCTCTAGCACTAACAGACCATGCAACATTTGGCACGCACAGCATTTGCCCAACCATTACAAAATATGCAACAGTGATGCTATTACTGCCAGCCGTGTTTGTCAGTATCGCGTTCCGCAGTACTTTGGGTCTCTGTTGCGAGTGTCAGTGTTCTACTTCGCATCCTAGTATTTGAGCCATGTCGGGGATAAATCTGGGATAAACGTGGATACTTTCCGAAATTAGGGTCCCCTTTTTGCAGCCCAACATACGAGGTGCCGCATTATGTTTAGTAACCCCCCTCCCCCCGCCCAAAAAAAAGCACATCATTCCTCGAATAAATACAGTCGAGCCTCTACTGTTGAAACATGATAGTTTCCCAAGTAAGGGGGCTCAATAAGATACCATATTCCTGTTATAAGCATACCCAAGAAGGTAGCCCTAATTTTGGGGATTCTAAGCCCCAAACCCTATGACACGCATATCCTGTTTAAAGGTAACCCTAATTTTGGGAACCCCTCTCATACCCAGGTGTTGGCTCAATGATGGCCCAGGCACTCCGTGCCAAGCACGGAGAGGGTGCAAAGGCCGAGAGCCAAGCAGAAGCGAGTCAGGGCCATCGCCTTGCCGTTAAGGGTTTAGGTTGAGGGTTTAGGGTTCAGATTTAGGGTTAAGGGTTCTGGGCTTAGGGTCAAGGGTTTAGGGTGTATGGTTTAGGGCTTAGTTTACGACCCTGCCCAAACCTAACATGGAAGCCCAAAAAGGGCCCTACAAAAGAAGGAGCCTGCATGGGGTTCCCTATTAGTTTGGGGAGGGCAGGGTTTTGTTTCCAAGGCCGAGGGCAATTCATGATTTAGCAATGGGTAATTCAGATCTAGCCGCGGATGAAGATGCCCAAACAACAATTTTCTCCTGGCTTAATTGCTATTATAAGGGTGCAGGACACATGCAGCTTGGCAGACATGCTTCTACCCAAGTCATCAGGACCGGTACCAGAGTAGGCACCCAGGTATTTGCGTTTTATCTGAACCCTATACCCTAAACCCTAAACCCTAAGCATCAGTCCAAGGTAGGACCAGTCAGATGCTGAGTGTGCGGCCATGTATGCGCTGTTTTCAGTTCCAAAAGAACCAGCCTACGCTGATGTATCAGAGAGCTGCAGCCAAAAATACGCGGGAGAAGTCTGAGCAGCGAGCACTTCTCTTGTGCAACTTCAGAGTTGCTTCAGCTATATAGCAGCAGTAATAATAAGAGTAATACTAGTAATAGTACAATATCAGTACTAATAGTGACGATGGCTCTTATCAGAAATCTAGCTCATTGCAAAACCAAAGGAAATTTGCATAGCAAAGGCGTTCATCAAAGGTTGACAGTTGGAACAACTCGGATGACTTGTGCTACTTCTTTTTCATTCCAGGACTTGTGTCAGGAGCATATTGATGATCCAACTTTCTGCTTTCTATCGTACGCCACAGTGCACCGGAAGGCAATCGAAGGCCTTTTCCATGATCCATCCGCGGCAGGCACGACTCTGCTGCTAAGAAGTACCCCGGAGTCCCCAAAGGAGTGTAGCTGCGCTGATGAAGCCTTTACACGTCGTTCTATGAGTACATAGCTCGGCTTCATGAGAAGTCTCAAGCCCTTTACTGAATTCTAGGTATCTTCTTCCTACACACAGGGGCCACACACCCTTATTCCTTATTCCCCTTACGTACAAAACCAGATAAAACAAGGTAAGGGCCCATAGTTAAAATCTTAGATTTAAGGTGCCAGGTCAGGATCAGGCATGAAAATGCGCATCCTGTCCGCAGCTCCCACCTTCCAAGCCGGGAATGCTTGCTCGCACTATTCAAGGGTCAAGGTTAGGGTTAAGGGTTTAAAGGTTTAGGGTTTTGGGGTTAAGGGTTTAGGGCTTTAGGGATAGGGTTTAGGGTTCAAGGGTTTAGGGTTTTAGGGTTCAAAGTTTAGGGGTATGGGTGGTGGTGGTGGTGGTAGGAATAGTACCCTTCACGCCCCTAGACAATCCTGGGAGAAACTGCTGATTTTTCGTGTCTCCGAGGTCAAGCTTCTGTTTGCAAAGATAGTTCCGTCCATGTTTGGCCCTTTACGGTTTGCGTTTATACATATTGGCCAGGAGGATTCCGTTCATGTTTGACCCTATGTTGTTTTGCCAGCTTCCATACTGGACTAGATAATTCCGTCCATGTTCCACCCTATACGGTTTTGCGAGCATCCATCTTGGCCACCATAATTCCGTCCATGTTCCCCCCTTTAGGGGTTTGCGAGCGTCCATAGTAGCCAAGATAACACTTATTAGCGGACATGTACTAATGTACGATTTGAACAATTCGTTTAGCGGACCTGTACTACTATTCCAAGAAACTCTTATTAGCGGACAGGTAGTATTCGTTGAGAAATTCCTTTATGCAGACATGTACTACTATTCATTCCAGGAAACTCTTCCTTGCAGACATGTAAAGGTAGACTTAACGGACATGCTGTTTTACTCGAAAAATCTCCCGACCAGACATGGTGATGAGGGCCCATACGAGAAACCCCCATGACCGACTAAGGACAATCTAATCGTTTGGCAAATAGTTCGTCACAGCTTTCTGGCCTTCTGATGTTCCCTTGGGTTTCCGGTCTATGAGCACGAAGTCCTGTCAATGCCAGTACGTTCCTGTCTCCTCTAAACTTTGAGGGCCAGAAACTCCTGCGATCGTCTAGGAGCGCGACGCCTAATAGTAGCAGCAGCAGCAGCAGCAGCAGCAAGCCCATGAACATTGATATTGGAAATGGTTCTAGTCAAATGCTGCTGAGATACCACTTATGGAAAATCTGCTGCCTCACCTAAGGCACAATTCCAGAGTGTTAGAATTTAGGTATGCAGGGCCATGTAGGATATTGTGCTGCTCGGCATATGTAGTCGCCGGACGCGGGTGTGATCCCGGCATATACGATTAAGACTCTCAAAGTCGCAAACGCCCCAGCAATACTCACTAAGGACTCTCGCTTTGAATTCGTAAGTAAAAAGGTCACCCCAAACCCGAACAATTCCCTTTGAGGTCTAAGGTACACCATACCATAGTTATTAGTAAGGTGGTGTTGGTAAACCCAACCCCCAAAATTGGGACCCTATAACCATCATATGATAGTCATAGGGTCCTAATTTTGGGGGTTGGGGTTATCAAAATCCCCTTCTTTATCATGCAAGCGACCTAGGGCCACAATTTTGATAATTATCGAAACCCTGCGCTGTAGCTACCCGCGGCCTCTAGGTCCTTCATGTCCGTTGCAGAAAGCTCCTGGCAGGGCAATAGCTTGGTCTGTAGCCTGAGGGATTGCCTATCCCCTTGCCTAAGAATGAAGATTCCCTCTAAGATTTAAGGGTGCTGTAGTTACTTGGGTACAGCTACAAACTGTGTTGACCGTTAGTGGTGAGAGGAAAGCTCACGGCAAACTGAATAAGGGAACGCTAACTTCACTAAACACTACGTACTGAATTCAAATACCTGAAGTCTAAATCACAAAGCCCAAACACCCTGAACAAACCTGAACTCGGATCATTTGCTTCAGCCGGCGAACCCATCCCACGATGTTCAAGTTGTCGGCCATCCGCTCGTCTGAGGAGGTGGACCTTAAGCCGGCAACTTCAAGGTTCTAGCTTTTAGGGTGTTTAGGGGGCTTAGGATTTAGGGTTTAGGGGGTTTAGGGTTTAGGGGGGTTAGGGGATTTAGGTCTTCAGGGTTTAGGGTCTAGGATGGTCTAGGGTTTAGCTTAAATAAAGTTGCCATCATATGGGTATATAGGGTTTAGGGTTCGCCCAAGCCTAGGGTTCTCCCACAGCCCAGGTCTCATCGACCGCATGGGGGGATAATTGCGGACCCGTCAGCTGCAGCCATCTTAACCTGTAAACTGCAGTATTTCGGGAACCCTCATGCAAAAACACCGCATTTGTGTTCGAGAGCGTCCGATCACGAAAGCATCCAAGCTCAAGCCCTAATGACGTTCATGTTCGAGAGTATCCCATTACCGGCACATCGATGCCCAAACTATGATAACGTTCATGTTTGCCAGCATCCAATTACCAGACCATCCATGCCCAAGCCATAATACGTTCGTATTGCAAGTGCATCCAAGTACCAGAAACACTGTGCCCAGTGGGACGAAGTCTATGTCTTTTCCGGGAGCCCTGATGCAAAAACACCATGCTTCATGGGGCATGTCATACTCTGATGGCGCGAACACAGACAAAAGGCTGACTATCACCGCCCTGCTACGTCTGCTACGCCCTTCTTAACATGTAAAACGCAGTAAATTTGCACAGGGCCCCAAATCGGCCAGGCACCGTCGCACGAAATGCGTGTGCGACATAGCTGTGATGAGATGCACCATGCACAAACCATTCTTTTTTGCACAGCTTGACTGCGAGCACCTGCAACAACCTCATCTAATATCGACGTGGCGCGCGGATTTTTTGACAAAATTCCGTGCAGCCATGATCGTAGGTTACTACAACACAAAAACCCAGGCAGGCACAATCTCCTGCAAAGCGCAGTGCTTTCTGCAACTTTTACCTAAAAACACATTCTCCCTGCAAAACGTTCCCAGAGAACCCTTGGCGTTGCGTGTTAGGGTTTTGGGACTGGAGTTGAGAGTTTTGGACTTAGGATTTCGCGTTTGGGGTGTAGACCTCAGGGTTCCGGCCTGCATGCTGTAAGACTTAGGAAGGATTGACGGCTTTGGACTGCGCAGCGACCCCTCGGAGTTAACTGGGAATGCCTAAAACACAGCATGAGACCTATAGTCTAAATTCCTAGTATCCCCCTTAGCAACCCCTATAGTAGTCCCCTATATCACCCCCTGGTACACACATCAATCCTCAGGGGGGCTATAGTCTGCTTCTAGTCCCTATATCTACCTAGACTCCATGGTGGCCTCTTTGAGAACTCCCGAACCCTGTCTAGGGTTTAGGATTTAGGGATTCGAGATGATTCGAGTTTAGGGTTTAGGGTTTAGAGTTTAGGGTTTAGGCTTGAGGGTTTAGGCCCCTGTTTAGGGTTCAGGGTTTAGGCGTAGAAGTAATGACGCCGCACCTGGCCCTCAAGCATGCCAGGTGAATCTCGAGGCATCACGGCATGAAGCAAAGCCGCTGACGGATTTCCAATCTACTGTAATATAGTAGGAGGTATAGGTTTAGGGTTTAGGGTTTAGGGTATATGGGAGTTTCCCAAAATTAGGGGCACCTTTTTGGAGGTACCCCGTCCCCATACTTGGGATAATGTAGCGTATTTTCGGATCTATAATGGTTTTTTCTATTTGGGGAAACTTCCATATCGGGATAGATAGGGGTTACATGGGGGTAATGGAAAAGAAATGGAAACTACTACAGCATCATGGGAGACTCAAATCGGGAGCTCATGGGAAGTGAATCCTGGGATCTTGGGGGCCCAAAGGAGGTGAATCCTGGGGGCTAAAGGAGGTGGGAGCCCAAAGGACGTGAATCTTGGGGTCTCGGAGACCCAAAAGTGAATCCTGGAGGAGCTAAAGAAGGTGAAGATATATGTGGAATATGGGGGGGGGGGATAATCTCTTCCATTCCCGCATGATCCTGCAAGCAGACCACAGGCATCATGATGCAAGAGCTTTTTCCGCGGCAGCAAGCATTAAGATGCGACACTTGGGGAACCTTTGAGCTCATATGGACCCAAGCGGTTCAATCTAGGCAGCCATAGTGCAGCCTTTAATAAGAACTAGACGCAACTTTACTGCAACCTCTAGTAGTCACGACAAGAAACATCTACAAGGCCCACTACTATAATGAAGGTGCGTTGCAACCTGACTCTAGCTTGGGCTTTAAATTTGTAAATTTGATTCCGCCTAGGGTTCAATAGAGTCATGTATAAGCTAGAGTATTCAGAAGTATTAGCCCGGAAAAAGATCCAGAAGGTGTCTGTAGTATGAAGTACTCCAGAAGACCTACGTGAATCGTCTAGACTCCTACCACTGCATTATGGTGTCCTCACTGGTCTCCTCCTTCAAAACCAATTGCTGGATCAGCCATGTGATCACCATCATGACCTCCTCCTCCGGGGGCAGCTCCCTCTTGTGGGGAATCGGGCAGACCTGGGGAGTTTTGATAGCAGGGGGTGTGGGTTGAGGGTTGTAGGGTTCAGCGGTGTCGGTAGGGACTGTAGAGATAGATAAGGATCATAAGGAGGATTTTAAGGGCCTCTTAATTACTCAGGATCCTACGGGGGAACAGTGAATTTGAGCAACCATCACCTGGCTCTGGATGTCCACCGTCTCCATGGCCTGCTGAATTCTGCGGGTCAAGCTCTGGGTCCTGCCCGGCATGCTCGGGATGTTCAGGAAAAGGATCGTTGAGACCATGCTCTTGCATCTCTTGCTGAGCCAGCGCATCCAGTTCCTGAGCCCCCGATTATCCATGATTATTCTAAACGTCTTTTTACAATGGTGTAGTGGAACTCAAGCACCCAAACAGGCAAAAAACGATTTCTACTCCTCTTGATCCACAGCCCCCCCAAAACCCTAAACCCCCTAACCCCTACATAGGGATCCCTAATCTTGATCCAGATTCCGGATCCTGGGGCGAGGCAGGGTGCTTTGCCATGCCGTGCCCTTCACCTGAAAGAGTCTAGGGTTCAGGGTTTAGGGAAAGGACAGGTTTAGGATCTAGGGCTTAGGGTTTAGGGTTTAGGGAAAGGACAGGTTTAGGATCTAGGGCTTAGGGTTTAGGGTTCAGGGTTTAGGGAAAGGACAGGTTTAGGATCTAGGGCTAAGGGTTTAGGGTTCAGGGTTTAGGGAAAGGACAGGTTTAGGATTTAAGGCTTAGGGTTCAGGGTTTAGGGTTTAGGGTTTAGACAGGAGAATGGAAACTACTATAGTGAAGAGTCAAGTGGAAAAGAAGGTGGAAAATGACATGGAAAGTAGGGTTATACATAGGGATTGCTTTATTATCGGCTCGGGGCTATAATAGAAAATGGGAAAGAGGGTGGATTGGATTCTAGAAGGGCTACTCTAGGGATCCAGTCCTCCATTCGCTACCCATAACAAGTACCCTAAATCCTAGCACCAAAAACCCTAAACCCTAAACTAACCCTAAATGCTGAACCCTAGATCCAAATCCAGCGAGTCACCATCTTCGCTGCCATCGTGGCCATGACGGCCTCCGGGCATTTGATGAGGTGCCTCCTCAGCCCCTTCACCTTCCCGAAAACCTGGGTTGCTGTTAAGGAACTTGAATTAAATTGCTATGATGGGGAAAGCCTATTATTCACTGTAAATATATATATATATATCCATTATGGTAACTTGAATTAAGTTCCTTAACAGCAACCCAGAAACCATGCATAGCGCCATCCTCTGCTTGCTCGGCTGGGTGGCCATGTTCGGCTTCCCATTCCGAGGGATCTGCTGGGCCAGGGCCCTCATGGCCATGCCTGCTGCGGTATGCTGCTTCTGCCATCTCCTGCGGGTAGGGATTCTGTGAATTGTTTAACCCAGTTCGAAAACACACCGCGAAAACGTGCAATCTTACTGAACAGTAGCGATTCCGTTCTGGTAGCACTAAACCCTAAACCCTGAATTATGTATGGTAGCTTGCATCTTCATTTCCATTACCCCTAAATTTTAAACCCTAAACATCCCTAAACACTAGCAGCCATAAACCCCTATATATCCTATATCCCCTTTAAGGGGCCCCTATATAACCCGTCTGTCCTTATATCCCTCAACCCTAAACTCTAAGCCCTAAACTCTAGACCCTACTCTAGGCTCTAAATCCCTAAGCCCTAAGTCCCTAAACCCTAAAGTCCAAATCCCTAAACCCTAAACTCCAAACCCTAAACTCTAGACCCTAAACTCTAGACTCTACATCCCTAAGCCCTAAACTCTAAATCCCTAATTACTAAGCCCTAAAGACTAAAGCCTAAACCGCTATATCCCCGCTTGAAGCCGCCACTCCTGTGGGCTCGGGGGCTCGTTCGGCATGTCGGGCTCCGACTCGAACCAGTGAGCTGGCTGACCTGAAAACCCTAAATCCAAAAACCTGAGCTTTGGACGCGGAATCCTAAATCCTAAACCCCAAGCCCTAAATCGTAAACCCTGAATCCTAAACCCTGAACCCAAAAACCTAAATCCTAAACCCTCAACTGATGAGCCAGCTGACCTTCGGGCTCGCCTTCTGTTCCAGCGTGCTCAACGCCGCCTGCAGGTCTGGCTTGCAGTGGTGTTCTCTCGCCTCAATATGAGCTATAGTCTAAACTCCTCAAAGGGGGTGATACATGAGGTTCCCTGATAGGGGAAAATAAACCATTACTTTGGGTTCTCAAATTTCCTTAATCTCAAACTATCTAATTCCAGAATGATTTTTTCAATCTAACCACCCCCAACCCAAAGTACTGGAAATAAACCCTAAACCCTTCCCCCTCACTTTTGAGAAGCTACCCTTTCCACCTGGTGGTGGGAAGTGCTCATCCAGGTGCTCATGTTCGCCGGCTGCCTACAGGCTGGCAAGCCATCAAGTAGCCAAAGAATTCAGAATTTAGGGCTTAGGGCTTAGGGATCAGGACTCAGTACCCCATGGATGGAGAATCAACTCCAGAAGAACATAGAAAACCCAATTTAGGGTTCAGGGTTTAGGGGTCACAGTTTGGGCTTTCGAGTTGAGGGTTGAAGGTTTGGGCTTTGCATATTCCTGCCATCAAGCCAGTCCAAGAACGAACAACAGCAGCTTACACACTAGAATTTCAGCCTGCTAGCACAAATGGTATTGCTTAGCTGGACCCCCAACCCTGCAAGAGCGGTAGAATAAGAATATCATAGGACCGAGGTGTAGCTGCTGGGTGGGGGCTCCACCCAAGATATGGGCAGCGTTGCCTGTGTAACTGGCAGGCCCACTATAACTCGTCAGAGTTTTGGTGGTTTCTCAGAATTCGGGTCCCCAATAATTTGGTATAGTCGCGCCCACAAGGCTAAGGGCAAAGAAACAAATATGGTAGGATTCTAAACTAAGGTCCCCAAAATTGGACACCCAATATCTACACTCACCAGTATGCCTCAGGAACCCTTTTCTACTCACCAATAACCATAATAAGGACCTTACTTCATAATATACCCTAATTTCTATAAACCATTATTTAATCTCGGCGTCCATTCCATGTTCATTTTCTTAACCATGTGACTCACAGATATTTGGGCAATATCATGTGATCGCCCCATTTACCTTGACGCCTAACCTCTCAATCCTGAACCCTAGATCCCAAACCCTAAACCCTAAATCCCTGTCCCTAAACCTCAAACCCTACCCTCCGAAACCTCATATAAAACCCTGGTTTCTACTAACATGCATCCGGGCCACATCCCCGGACAGATGCTCTGCGACTTGTAGCAGGCCTCAGCTGAGTTTTCGGGTTCGGGGTTAGGGTTTGGGGTTAGGCTCGGGAGTTTAGGGAAGGCATGTTAGGGGTGTATGATAGTATAAGGAGGCGCTATGGGGCAATAGCGTTCTTAAGTATAGCTTAGAGCCCGACATTTAGCTAAGGCATGCGAGAAAAAGAAGGTCCATATACCATATATATATATATATCACATGCATGCTACGTGTTTAATTGAATATCCCGCGCACTGGTAATAACCTTTCGTCTAGGGAGCCCCGAAAGGTGTATCAGCATTTTGGCACGCCCAAAATTTGTATAAACGTTTTGGCATACTCGCACATGGTATCTCCAAATGAGATTACTTCAGGGCCATCTGCACGGCCAGTTTTAGAGAGCCCCTCTTCAGGCGAGACAGAGGGAGGCCAGGAACAGCAAATTCTACCCGCCCTAAACCTCCGAGCCCTTCGCCCTAAACCCGTAAACCCCAAGCCCGAAACCCTAAACCCTAGGTCCTACCCTTCAGCCTGACCTACTATCCCTTAAACTGCAGTAAGTTGTACACGCAAGGGCTACTGGTACATCAAAATGTTTCTGTAGTACTGCAAACTGCAAACAAAGGGGGGCCTCCTGCAAGTTTCTACCCCTAAGCCCTAAAACCTAGACCCCTAAGCCCTAAAACCTAGACCCCTGAGCCCAGCACCTATGTCAACGGCACCCCCAGTCTGGAGAAGGACTGTGGTGTGTCCATCTTCGGTCACCGGCTCCGCTGCAGCATGAAGGATCTGACCTGGGAGCACCTGTGCACTTGGAGGGTTTAGGGGCTTAGAGGCTTAGCTCTTTAGGGCTCAGGGCTTAGGCTTAGATTTAGGGCTTTGGGGTTTAGGCTTTGGGGTTTATGGTTTAGGTGTTTGGATACGGACCTAGAAAGGCCTCTGCTGATGAATTAAAATAACTCAAACAGTATTGAGTTGCTATAGTTGCTGTTAATGAACTTAAATTGCGTTTCCAGAAAAGGGATATAAGTGTTTACTAGGTGTCCTAACTTCAGCAACTTAGTTCAAGTTCCCTAACAGCATCCAAGGAGATTGGCGCGCATATCACTCTTTCTCATCATGACAGGGCAGTGGTGCTGGCGCCGCCTCTAACTACAAGTGATAAGAAGACTGTCTACACTTACTGTTCGGAAAATGACAGTTCCGCCCCAAACCCTCCGGCACCATAGAACAAACAAGCAGACATCCTGCAAGCCAAAACCTTTACGATACAATTGCATGCGAACCTTCACCATACAATTGCTCGCGCCACACCCTAGAACCAACCACCCGAAACCCCAAACCTTCACCATACAATTGCTTGCGCCACCTCGCCGGCTTCAGTTCCCCAAATAGCTCCATGCTTGTCCGTCTGTAGCAGCGGCCCTTGGCGAATCACCTGCAAACAAACCCTCTGGGGACTCCAGGCAGTGGGGATTGATTAGGGCCCATTGGGGTAATATAGGGATAATGGAAAAGAAAATGGAAACTACTATATTATGTAGGGTTTAGGATTTAGGGTTTAGGGTTACACAGTGGCAGGGTAATTCATGACGGCAACCATGAGAAACGATTCCGAAACAAAGGGCCAAATTGTGTAATTGAAATGCACTCGTCCAAACCGGACCATGGCATGCGACCTGAAAAGGTTCAAACCATTCCCCACAAACCCTAAACCCTATACCCTAAACCCTAAACCCTGGGCCTAAGGTTTTGTTTATGTTGCAGGGCCTCTTTTACCTCGCTTCGCTTCAGAAAACGCTCAGAGAGCAGGCGCAATCCTGTTCAAGAAGCCAACCCTCACCCAAGCTTGGGATTCACATTCCGAGCGCTGGGGTTTCGGGCTTTGGGTTTAATCCGGGTGTGCCGTGTTGATTACTTCGCATTTCTGATATACCAAAAATAAAATACACACTTAATTAAGGGGTCCCTAGAGCCCTGAGAAGTCCCGTCGTTCTAAGGGCCCATATGAGCCTTGTAGGCGCCCAGCCACTGTCATACGCTGTGGCTAGGATGAAAGAAGCTCTTGAAGCTGTGCAAAAGAACTGAGTGGAAAAGCGAGAACAGGGAGGAGTCTACATGGTTTGTTGTTCAGGGTCTCGGGGAAGGCGTGCTTCAGTGAGGACAATGTGAGGACAAACAAACCATGACAAGCCCACCGTTGTCCCTTGTACTCCACAACCACACCCCAGGCAATGCCCCCACGGCCATAAGCACTCTAACTATTAAGTCCCCTACAGTACCCACGCCCCGGACCCCAAACCACCACACTTGCAAGCTTGGTCAAAAGCAGGCCTGCAGCACGGTACCTTGCCAGAGAGAGGTTTACTAGAGGTTCAGGATTTAGGGCTTAGGGTTTAGGGTATAGGATTTAGGGTTTAGGATTTAGGGCTTAGGGTTTAGGATCTAGGGTTTAGGAATTAGCCAGTAACGAAGGAAGGGAATTCAGGGACTCTTCTCAGGCAATATCTGAGTGAGTTCTCAAGAATCAAGGATCTCTTATCAGGGGTCCCTATAATAACACGGATTGTAGTATTCGGGGATCTACCTTCATTCCGTACTAATCACTGGTCACTAGCCCATGGGAGATGTACAGATTCAGCTGTACAGGGACATGCTGGGGCTCAGGGTTTGAGGTTTAGGGCTTATGCTTTCCTAGGACCTTTTGGCATAAGCCCCTCTAAACATAGTTTGGGTCATAATCATTTGCAAGTACCTTAGATGAGTGTCATCCCTGAACCCTAAATTCTAGGGTTTCTCAGGATGAGTTCTACAAAGCCCCTGACAGGACCTCCCATAAACCCCATGTATATGATCTTTAGAACTCCTTAGAGTTTAGGGTTCAGGGTATAATATGATCTTATCAACCCCTCCAGAACCCCAGCTTCCATTTCATTGTCCATAGTTTTTCCGTTATCGAGGTAATATCCATATATATATACACACACATGTAATATCCCTCTGTCTATATGTATGTGTGTGTACACAAGTCCCTATAACATCTCTAGATATCATGATCCCTAGATCTCCTTTTGAAACTTACCTAGGGGATCCCTTTTGTATGAATCCCCCTCATGGCCACGCTGCCTGCATGTATGGGTTCTTGCTGGTAAGCGCGCTCCTCCATCTCTGGTTCCTGTTCCTCAGCATGAACAAGCTGAACGGCCGAAACTAACTTTCAAGCAGGGTGGGGGATTGCACTTGGCACTATCGACAGCATGGAACTATCCAGATCATACTGATGTATGAAACATCTTGAATACCAAGATCAATGGTTATCACAAATCTGCGATGCAAAAAGAGCACTATATTGACTAGGACTTACACAAGCGGCCTTCTACGTAGGAGCCTTGCAGCATGCGTGCGGAGGATGGTTTAGGGTTTGGGGTTTAGCTACTGCTGCTGTGGTTTGCTGTGCACTTGGTGTCGCGCGGGCTGTGACCGGTAGAGCGCCTCATCCTCTTGATCTGCGATCTTGACCCGCGATGCCTGCGCAAAGGCGATGACCATCTCTGGTGATAAAAAAGGGCTTGCAAAGCATCTAATATGCTAGAATACTATAGCCCCAGAAGGGGTGAGGGATCAGTTTGGAACACCGATTGGCGTCATTCTGGAACACAAAAACCGGAAAAGGACCATTTTGCAACACAAGATATCTAATTTTATCTCGCCAAGCTTCGCCCCATGAGTCCAAGGATCGTTCTCAGTAGTCCAAGCTAGAGCCCATTAGTCCAAGCAACTCCCCATTAGTGCAAGGGTGTGAGGAGGTCTGATTTGATTTTATCATCGCCCCAGTCGATGAACCGTTCCCATTTGTCCAAACTACGGCCCATTAGTCCAATTCTACGCCCCATCAGTCCATGGGTGTGAGGAGTTCTGATCTCGTTTTATCATCGCCTCAATAGTCCAAGCTTCGCCCCATCAGTCCACGGAAATTAGTCCAAGCTACGCCCCATTAGTCCACAGGTGTGAGGAGTTCGGATTTGGTGTGAGGAGTTCGGATTTAATGTTAAGCCAAGCTTCGTCCCATTAGTCCAAGGATCGTTCCAAAAGTGCAGGCGCCTACGGCGCGTCATTTAAAGCCTGCCATCCCTCTGCCCTGCCCTCCATAAATATTACCTACATTAGGTGGAAACCCTGGAAACCATGAAAACCCTGGAAAACATGGCAACCATAGAAACTATGAAGACCATAGAAACCATGGAACCCGTTGAAGCCGTAGAAACCATGGAAAGCACCCAAACCCTGGAAACCGCGTTGACAGCCAATGATCCGCGTTCCAAATTGATCCCCTTGTCCGCGTTCCAAAATGATACGACTTCGAGTTCCAAATTGAACCCGTTCCCCCGAAGTCAAGAAGATGATTAGATCAATGCAGCTTTGCCGCATCAACCGTAGACCTTAACAACCATTGCAATACCCAGCAAGTGAAAGCGATCAGTGACAACAATCCAAGGCAATGGAGGATGGTAGAGTGACTCTGAAAGTCTTCAGCAGCAGTAGGGGATCATTGTGGTAGAGACCTATGACAATGCAAAGAGCATGATCACAAACCCGGAAGCATGACAACCGTCGCAAGCATTCTGAAACCACCCCACCAAGCAGCGTGGGAAAAAGGGTGTACTTTTTGCTGAAGCCCGGAAAGCCTACAGCTGTAAACTGGGTTGCTGCTAAGGGACTTAAGTTAAGTTACCATAATGGATATATATATATATACACACAGCAAATAAAAAGGTTTCCCAACATAGTAACTTAATTTAAGTTCCTTAACAGCAACCCAGTAAGCCCGCAAATCCCAAATCTCGAGGACTGCCGCGGCCTGCTAACAGACAGCACAAAGTAGACCACAAAAAGAGCACAACACTGATTTTATTGAGCTTCTTCGAAGGTGTCGCGTTGTTTTTAGGGTTCGTGTTTGTGGGAGTTGGCAGTGCTCAACAGAAACCCTTACGCCTCCCCTGAGCCTTAAGCCCCTGCAGCTCCCCAAGCCCCCAAACTCCCTAAATCCCGGAGCCCGAAATCCTAAAACCGTATAGTCCCCCTTAAGTAGGTAGAACATGGGGTATATGGGGATCTTATTATAATATACCCAAAGCCATATTCTATCTACTTAAGGCGGACTATAAACCCTAGAGAATAGTTTCCACTTCCTTTTCCATTATCCGAATATAACCCCTATTCTAGTTTCCATTTGCTTTTCCATTATCCCACTAAAACCCCAAAAGGACCCTACATATCCCTTTAAAGGGACCTAGGGTTTCCATTTCCTTTTCCATTATCCCAATATAATCCCAACATGACTGGGGGGACCTCCACAGCTCCTGAGGGATGAAGCAAGACGAGCGTATGCCCAGCCTCCATCCTGAGTGGAAGGCTTAAGCAAGGGTTTGTATATATTGGAGCTCTATAGGGATAATGGAGAAGAAAATGGAAACTACTATTTAGGGCTTAGGTTTTGGGGTTTAGGGTTTAAGGCTTAGGGATTAATGTTCCTTTGGAGTGGTTTGTGGGATTTTTTAAGGGTTCGCCGAGCCTTTAGGGGTAGAATATTGAAAGTCCAAATGGAGAGGAACATGGAAAGTCAAATAAGGATTGTAAGCAGGATTGTGGTGATTCAGGGTTGAGGGGTTGTAGGGGTTAACGGATGGTGGGTTTAGGATTTGAGCGTATCGGGGTTTTGAGGTTTAGGTCTAGGGTTTATGCTTCTGTGGCTTGAATGGGTCCCTCCGCTGTAGGCCTTATGAGGACATTGGTGACAAGTAAGGCTTGTTCAGGCATGGTGGCGCTATGAATCCCGGGCTTGTCGGGAAGTCGAAAAATCGAAAATTCATGCTGATAATTATGGATGGCCTGCGTGCTGATTATATGTGCAAATGGAATCTGAGAATAACTTCGAAAGGGTATATACCTCAAGGAAACCCACGGAGCTCGAATTTGAAATCTGGAGCATGTTCATACATGGGTGAACGATGGGTTCTGGGGAATAGTCGCGGATAGGAGCATAAAGATGCACTGTAGGCATCAGGAGGAAGAAGAGCTGACCTTCACTTCAAATCTGGCCCAGCATCACCGGCGGTGCGGCTGCCTCCACAAGGTGGCCCATGATGACCTCCGGATGGGGCTTCGGGTTCAGGGGTTTAGGGGTTTAGGGGTTTAGGGGTTTAGGGGCAAGGGGTTTAGGGGCAAGGGGTTTAGGGGCAAGGGGTTTAGGGGTAAGGGTTGATGTGGCTCAGGAGGTTTTTGGAGCGTTTGGTTTCAGGGGTTCAGGGTTGAAGGAGGTTCTCTGTTTAAAGTTTTCGTGGTTTGAGGGATTTCAAGGCTTTAGACTTTGGGGCTTCCAAGGGGCTCAGGTGCAGTGCAGTGCTGTTTCAACGTATGGATCTGTTCTTAAAGGGTCCA